AGATTCATTAAAACTTGTACAGTTCTGGGAACAATGTTCTTTTTACACATTTTATATTTTAAATGGTTTTGAAATAATTTAGACCACTGTTTTGTTCATTTTGGCTTTAGCATCTACTTTACCAGATTTAGCTAATGTTTTGCTACTTTTAGCTGCTGTTTTGCAGATTTCTGCTAATGTTTTGCAGATTTTAGCTGTTGTTTTGTTATTGTTAGCCATAGCCTACTTTTTATGCAAACTGTAGCTAACGTTTTGCTAATTTTAGCTACTGTTTTGATTGTTTTAGCTACTGTTTTGCTCATTTTAGCTACTGTTTTGCAGATTTCTGCTAATGTTTTGCTGATTTTAGCTGTTTTGTTATTGTTAGCCATAGCCTACTTTTTATGCAAACTGTAGCTAACGTTTTGCTAATTTTAACCACTGTTTTGATTGTTTTAGCTACTGTTTTGCTAATTTTAGCTACTGTTTTGCAGATTTCTGCTAATGTTTTGCTGATTTTAGCTGTTGTTTTGTTATTGTTAGCCATAGCCTACTTTTTATGCAAACTGTAGCTAACGTTTTACTAATTTTAGCCACTGTTTTGATGGTTTTAGCCAATGTTTTGGTAAATTTAACTACTGTTTTCTTCTTCTTCTTAACTATAGCTTACATTTTTGCTAACTGCAGCTATTGTTTTGCTGATTTTAGCTACTGTTTTGCTGATTTTAGCTAATGTTTTGCTGATTTTAGCTGTTGTTTTGTTATTGTTAGCCATAGCCTACTTTTTATGCAAACTGTAGCTAATGTTTTGCTAATTTTAGCTACTCTTTTGATGGTTTTAGCCAATGTTTTGATAATTTTAACTACTGTTTTCTTCTTCTTAACTATACCTTACATTTTTGCTAAGTGCAGCTACTATTTTGCTGATTTTAGCTACTGTTTTGCTGATTTTAGCTACTGTTTTGCTGATTTTAGCTACTGTTTTGCTGATTTTAGCTACTGTTTTGATGGTTTTAGCCAATGTTTTGCTGATTTTAGCT